TTTTCAAATATTATCATATTAAATTTTATTTAAATATTTTAAATAATTAAAAAAGTAGATCAGAGACATATTTATAGACAAATTTGCCTGCAAATCTCTACCAATTAAGGGATATAAATAATTTTATATTAATTAATATAATGAAGACGATTTCTATTTGTACACCAGGTGTATATACACCTGTCATATGATAATATAAATAATAAATAATGCATATTGTTGTTTTGTAACAATTACCAATTAGCCAATCAAATATATTAATTTTATTAGTGCATTGCATATAATAAAACACATACATACAAATATACTATTGTATTATAAATAACTAAATCAAACTGAATAAGGCAAAGGCTTAAAAAAAATAAAAAATAAAACAGGGTTATTGCCAGAAAATGACTATATTGCCATATATATAGTTGAACAAACATGCAAAACATGTATAATGGCAAATACACAATAGCCTAATGAAGATAAAGAAGGTAAGACTGTTGATAACTAACTTTTGATACGTATTAATACAGTAATAAAAAATGCTTACTTAAAGTATGTACATACATATATATGTACATACATACATTGTTTATCTACATATACATGCTCTATTTAAAGACCCGATCGATATACAAATATATAGCAGATTCTTAAGTAATCAAATTATATTTGAAATCTTTAAAATAATGCTGTAGTCAAGTAACCTGGATAACTTAATATATGTATAATAATAAATGAATTAGTATTTGATGATCTAAAGAACTAATAAAGCATTAAAAAAAAAAAAAACAACTTAATTTTAGGGACCTGATCAATATACAGTATATAATATACAGCAGATTCTTAAATAATCGAATTAAGTTTGAAATCTTTAAAATAATGCTATAGTCAAGTAACCTGGATAATGTACGTATAATAATAAATGAATTAGTATTTGATAATCTAAAGAACTAGTAAAGCATTAAAAAAAAAAAAAAACTTAACTGAATCAGCATGTTTTTAAGAATTTTCTTCACAGGTTATAAAATTCTTGAAAGAAATGATTATTCTTAGAATGTATTGACTTTTAAATAATTATTATCAAATGACTTTGAATAGCAATAATAAAAGCATGACTTGTTCAATATACATAAAGTAATCAATTAATTATCAACTTGCTTTGCTTATATATATATCTTATTATATCAAATAAGGATCAACAGTCTAACACAACCATCATACTAATATTAAAGCACTAAATTGTTACCTGACAAGTTTTAGAATAGTGACCATATTTCTTGCACTTTCCACACTTACAGCCTTTCGTATTATCACCATTCTCTTTTATATTCGAAATTTTATTATTGGTCTTTAGTATCTGTTTATTTTTAGAGACTGTATACTTAATATCGGACTTCAATCTTTTTGGTAGTCGGCCCCTATGCTTAGTAATAGTAGGGTTTTCTACATCATAATTATTATTTACTGGTTGATTCTCATCAATTTTATTTTTCGCATCATAAAGAAATGACTTGAGACTATCCAATAATTCATGTGTCATATTAGTGTTAATCGCCGAATCAATAGCTTTCTTTGATAATCCCATTAATTCTGCATATATAGTTTTGTTATTATGTCTTGCTGAATGAAAATTATGTGATATAGTATGAATGGAAAACAGATGCTCAAATATAATGTTGGAATGTTGGAATGTAAATAATTCTTCTTCCAATCTAACTGCAGTACACATTTTAATAGCCGGAATTTGCTATAAAAGTATTTCTTGACTTGTGTTATTAGGTTCCAAGTACCAACGTGATGGAATAATTGTAATATGGAATGTAGCCACTTGTGAATATGTTGCAACACGAAAAAATGCCTACATATTAAGCCTTTATTTATTAATAAAAGGCAGGTACACAAGTGTGTACTGTCGTTTAACAATACTACATAGTGACCAATACTTGTTGCCCCAGTAGCCCGAACATTCCACACTTCCAATACTAATTCTTGAGTGACATTTTTAACTAATGATTTAAAAAGAACTTGTCGAATGTCTTGTTCGCACTCTCGAAGTCCAACATTGACTTCTTCATTATCATCATCCGTCTACAAATAATATATATTATGTTAATACAGAACTACTATAAATTAAGCTTTTTTTTTTAAAAGAAAAAAACCTCCCTCTATTAATTGCTGCCATTCTTTGATATGACTAATATCATAACATACTGACTGGTTCATCTGCATTCGTTGCTTTCCTAACATAATAGGAGTCATAAATTGCTTAAGTATATCATCAACTTGTTTGAAAAACATATTATTCAACGTTGGTAGCCCAACTGTCGGTAAAGCATTTCGTTCAATCTCAAATTTTTCAAAAATTTCACCACTCTTAACATAGTCATTAATACTATTTAAAAGATCACACAAAGAGGTAGCTCGATCAACTTTATCGTGTATTTGCTTATTAATTGACTCTACTCTTTGGGTGCTTTGAACACCAGCCATAAATTGGCTACGGATTCAAGGTACTCCCCATGATTCTTTATTAGGATAAAGTGTTTCTGACATATATTTAGATGAAATAGGATATTGTTCTAGCAAATAAAGCCACCGGGCTTCAAATAGTTCATCATATAAAGAATTTCGACATGAATAAAATTTTTGTCTAAATTCTCTAAAATGAGAACCCAACTTACTCATAAGCTTTTTACGAAGATTAAGATCGATATGGAAAATACATAGCAAGTGGCTTGTGTCAGGATAGATTTCTTTAATTGCACTGATCATAGACGGGTCAGAATTAGTGAATATGACTTTAGGTGTAATATTTGTTTCTTCTAATAAAGTAGTAAAAACCCATCGAAAAGTATCAAGTGTTTCGTCATCTATAATAGCAGATCCAACGATTCTAGATTTAAAGTGGTTGTCAATTATAATAATGACATAGCATCATTTTAAAATGATTGGTATTTGATGTAGTATCTAAGATAACAACATCATGAAAATTTTCATATAATGATCGTTGTAGTGGTGATATCCATAGTAATCTACTCAATCTTCGGGATGAAGGTTCTAAATATGGTTTGACTACCCATAAAGGATCGAATTCTTTAAATTTTAATAATTTCTAAAGTATCTGGGATGCATCTGAATCACCAGGGTTATTTTTAGCTCTAAATTGGTACACTGCATTATAAAGATCTCTTTTATAAATTGAACAACCAGGATAATCGTGTTTTAGTAATGGGTAAATAGACCCAGAATCCATTCGACCTTGTATTACATATTTCTCTATGTCTAATAGCATTTCTGGTGTTAATCTTCTAAAACGTGGTGCTATTTCATAAATAGTTAGAGTAAGTTCATAGTTATGACGATTATCATATGAATTAATTGTTAAAATATTCTTTGTCTTGGGACAAGTAACATTAAGTCACCAATAACATTTACTTCGCTGTGAAGATGTATTTCTTCGTTTTGTTGGATCAGAGGTCACTTGTGGATTGTGTACACCTGATCTTGAACATTCATAAATAATTCAACGTAATATTCCTTCCTCTGATCAACTAGATCTAATTCTATAGCTAAATCTTATTTTTTTAGCAAAATTATCTATCCAAATATTGAATTCTTTCCAAGTCGTAAAGGTAAGCCCAACCCTTAATTCTAACATATTATTTTGATTCTGAGAATCTTTATCATCTTCGGAATCTGTACTAACAAATTCACTTTGAACCTAAGAATCTTTATTATCTTCAGAATCTATACTAACAGGTTCACTTTGATCCTGAGAATCTTTATCATTTTTGGAATATGTACTATCAGGTTTACTACCAAGACTAGCCTCACTAGAAATATAATCTGTTCTGAAATCGTCCCTTGCAGCAATATCGTTAATGGAAAGAAAATCATTACCAAAATCATCTTCAAGGTTGTCATCCTCAAATAAAGAATTGTATGAAGGACCAAATTTAGTTGAAAGATAATTATAAGTGTTGTAAGTACCAGCATCAATAGAAAGATTAAAAGCATTGGAAGAACTAGCATCAGTAGAAAGGTTAAAAGTATTGTAATGGTCAGCATCAGTAGAAAGGTTAAAAGTGTTGTAAGAATCATCATTAACGAAAAGATGATTATTGCCAAAATCGTCCTTCGGATAATTTTAAAGTTGTTTGACATAATGATAACAATAACAAACAAAAAGTTTATTGAAGTTACAATAGCTAGCAAGAAAAAAAGAAAAAAAAACAAACTAACATATACCTGTGACAAAAAAGAACTATCATATGTATTGAACCATTCCATATTGAATTGAAAAGGACGTAATGTATCGCGATGACTACTAGTTTTAGCTTGTGCGTTTATACAATATCGATGACTAGTTTTGGCTTGTGTGTTTATATGATATTAATAAAACATTTTAGAGAAATGAATGAGTTATATTTAAGCAGTTGATTCTTATTTATCGAATTTAATAGCAATCTTTACCTTTATTATGATAAGAAGAGAAAGAGTTGATCATAATTATTACGTCTTCGTATTTATATTGAGATCACCCCTGTTATTAGTGTCAAAACAATAATGTCGTAATGCAATAATGAAATCAATATAAACACTATTATTACTAGCGCTAGTTTCAAACCAATTATTATTGCATGAAATATAAACTCCGCCAGGGAGAACAATGACTTAATTGTGTCACCATTTATTACTATTACGTCACCTGGTGTATATACACCAGGAGAAATTTTCATAATAGAAATTGTGTCACCGTTGTGATATTTTTATTACTATTAATAGGGTTACGTCACCTGGTGTATACACACCAGGTGTAATTTAAGTAATTTTCTATAATGAAATACATACTTTAAGTCTGATTCAAGAAAAAATTCTTTACGGCAAAATAAATACATTTTATTCTATTAGTAATAAATATATATATATATATTTTTTATATTGCCAAACGTAGAAACTTTATTAGTCATGATTCACACCTTTTTACAGAGCAATTGATATACAGTTTC